GCTGTTGTACTTTGAATGGATTTTACAACTTGATTTCAACTTTTTTTTTTTTTTTTAGGTTTTAAATTTCAATCATCTAATTTCTAAGACCTCCCCCTCCAACCTGTGTTTTAAGCAGCAACCTGTTCTTACGTGGATGCATTATCTTTTCCTCACTCTAAGGTGATTAACAATAACTTTAAAAGTTTGTTTCCTCAGAGATGCTTTTCTTTCCTGTTGCTTTTGCCTCTGCTTTTCATCTTCCTCAAATGTTTGGTGATCCTTGGCTCATATTTAGGAGTGGAGTGTTTTAAAAGTTACTTGGATGTGAATTTGTGTGTGGGGCTGAGGGATGGGGGCTTGTCAACCATGGGGCTCACTACTGGGTTGTCAGGCTGTGTCATTTTATTGAGGAACCCTTGATGTATCTTTTTTTTCCCTTCCTCGAGCTGATCAGGTTGACCAGAGAAGTCTTTTCCACTCTGCTGCCTGGAGGGTAAAAAACCTGGCTGCCCGTGTTCTGGGATCCCAGTCGGGGTAGATAGCTGAGGGATCTGAACAAGTAAACTACATTAACACCTTTATCCTCATCCCTGTATGCCTGTTGAGTCCAAAGACATCCTTTCTTACCTGCTTCAGACAAGTTTCTGCCCAGAGAGAGGTGGGGGTGGGGAGGCTCAGTTGTCCAGTACAGAGAAGATTTGGGTATTCACTGCTTGTCAGACTTTGTACCAATCCTCTTTTAGTCCCTTTTATGTCTATTTTCAGAGATAACCTGGGCTGCTGATTGCTAATAAGCCTTTGGGGATTTTGTGGTGCAATCTGAAATCATGTCTTCACTGCTGACAGAATATTCAGTTTTGTCTGCTGATTCAATTGCCATTTGTTCAGAAGCTTTGCAGCTTCCAAAATTTTGTAGTAGTTTCCTCTCGCATTCTTTGTCCTTACGTATTTTTATATTGCCTCTTTTTTTTTTTGAAGTACTAGGTTTTAGTAGAATTTCAGAAGGCATTAGAAATGATAGTTTAGTTTTAGCAACCTTTTTATTTGTGTGTGGGGATAGTTGGTGATGGAAGATTTGGGGGAACAAAATGGGGCAGGCAAATTAAAATGCAAGTAAGCTCAGTACACTTCTAGAATTTGACCAGTAAAGTAAAGTTTACAAGTAGGTTGTTAGTTTATTACAGAACCAATCTCTGTTTACCTATTGGACAGTGTTGGGTAGCTTTCAGTTCTCCCTCCAGTTTTGTAGACCCCGCTAGAGCCATCAAATCCCACTTGCTCGGTCTGTTACCCTAATTGAAATTTTGATACCTTTTGATTTACCAGATGTCTGCTACCAGGTGAGTTAATCTCTCTTCCTCTGGTTCTGGGTTTCCTCTTTTACTCCTTTTCTAACCTTCAATATGTTTTGTAAGATTGCAGGTCTTTACCACATTGCTTTTTCCACATTGGTATGGCAATTGCTTCATTGTTCCTTGTGTACAAGTTAGAATATAGTGTGTGGATCACTGTCCAGGTGTTATCCATGCTGAGATAATTTTGAAAAGTAGTCTGATGTTTTAGGATTCGATTATTAGGCCTTTGCATTCTATACTTCAGTCTATGTGCTTTTATTTTACTGTTAGGAAAGTCCTTTGAAGTTACCTTATACTTTAAAAGTACTTTATGTTTATGGCCCTAAGGAATGGGGAATTTTAAAACCCGGACTGAACCCACTCGCCATCACAATGTTTGGTCCTGAAATGTATGATGAGTTTATTTGATTTGGAGTCAGATGAACCTGAAATGTCAAAATCTAGATCCATGCATAATGGATATACTGACACATTGCAGTAAATTTCTTTGGGTGCAGTTTACTTAATAGTGCAATTTATCAGTGCAATAATGCTTAAGGATGACCCCAGACTTCATATAGATGATTTTTACTGCCTACTTTTGACAAAGTTGAGAATGCATACTTCATCTTTTCTTCACTACTGGCCATGTTTAGGAGTCTGGTCTAAAAATTTCCATGGATAAAATGATTCTAGCAAGATGAATATCCAGTTGTGCAGATTGAGTTGGCTTGGGCTGTAGATGGCTGTCTGTTGCCTATATATAATCTGGAAAGTTGGGGAGGGGTTAACTATAATCTGGTGGTTATTTCAAAGAGAACTGCAGGCCATTTATGTTAGACTCACATCAGTATTGGTTGGAGGTGTTCCCTAGGATTCTGTATTTCACAATCCCAAGTGATACTGGTTACCCTTAAGTTTTAAAGGATGTCGTTTTAAGATGGTTAGAGTTAGGCCTACTGTTTCATAAGGTTTTGTTTTGTTTTGTTTTTACTTGTATCGTGGAAAGACAAAGGTACGTTTCATAAAACTTAATACTCAAGCATTTAAATCATGGACCCTAAGTCTAGGTTGAAAGAAAAAATAATAAACACTTAGCATTCTAAGGAGTACACCAGATGACAATGAGTAAGAGTG